GATGGAGAGAGATAGCGAAAGAGGGAACACAAGCAGGGGGAGCTGGAGAGGAGGAAGCAGGCTCCCCATTGAGCAGAGAGCCCGATGCAGGGCTCAATCCCAGGACCCTGTGATCACGACCTGAGCTGAAGGCAGACATTTAATGACTGAGCCACCCCGGTGCCCCTAAAGTCAATAATCTATGTTTCCACCTCAAGAAACTTTTTTTAAGAGGGCAAATCAAACCCAAAAATAAGAAGGAAAAGAAATAATAATTAGAGCAGAAACCAATGAAATTGTCAACACGAAATAGAAAAAAAAAATCAATGAAACGAAAGCTGGTCCTTTGAAAATATGCATCAGTTCAAGAAGCCTCTCGTCAGGCTGGGAAAAGAGAGAGAAAACACAAAGTACCAAGATCAGATATAACACGGGGAACTTGGTTACAGATCCCACAGAAACATAAAAACAGAAATTCTGTATCACGAATATGATAACTTAGATGAAATGGACCAGTTTCTTGAAAGACACAATCTGCCAAAATTCACACAAGGAAAAAACGATCTGAGTGGTCCTGTATCTGTTACAAATACGGACTCAATAATAACCTTCCGACAGGAGACACCAGGCCCAGGTGGGTCCGCGGGTGAGTTCTACCCACCATTTAAGGAAGAAATTACACCCATGCTGTCCACTCCCGGCCAGAGGACGGAAGCAGAGAGGATACCTCCTAACTCACTGTGCGAGGCCAGGATTCCCCGGATGCTAAAATCACAAAAAGACGTTAAAAGAAAACCACAGGCTGATGCCTGTCATGAACACAGATGCGAAAATCCTCCACGAAACGTGAGCAAATCAAATCCAACAACATACAGAAAGAATGACACCCACACCCGGGCAGACTCATCCCAACCATGCAGGACTCGCTCAACATTTGAAAACTCATTAATGTAACTGAGAACTAAAAATAAATCACAGAATAGGTTCATACCAATAGATGCAGAAAAAGCGTGACAAAACGCAGCTCCCGCCCATGATAAAAACTCCCGTTAAACCAGGAATAGCGGGAACTATGTCCATGTGATAAGGACTATCTACAAAAACCCTACAGCCAACATCCTAGTTCATGGTGAGAAACTCAATGCTGTCCCACGAAGACGAGCTCCAGTGCCAGGACGTCCCCTCTTACTGCTCCCACCCAACACTGTGCCGGAAACCCATGCTCACGTAACAAGGCAAGAAGAAGAAATTAAAGGTATACAAATAGGGAAGAAGGACACAACTGTCTTTGTTTAAGATGACACGGTCATCTATATAAAAACTTTGAAAGAATAAACAAAAACTCCTGAATTAATAAGCAATTACAGCAACGTGGCAGGATATGACGTTCATACACAAAGCCGACGTTCTCCTACAGACCAACAGCAAACAGATGGAATTTGAAATTAAAAACAGTATGACTTACCTGAGCACGCCTGAGCAGAACACTCGGGAGTATCGGGGTGTGTGTGTGTGTGTGCGCGTGCGTGCACGCATGTGTGAGATCCACGTGAGGAATGCCACGAAACTGATGACTGGACTCAAAGAACAACAAAGTAATGGACAGACACTCCACGTTCGTGGGTAGGAAGACTTAACATCATCAAGATAACTGTTCTTCCAAAACAGATCCCAGATTCCACACCATCGCAGTCGGAATCCCAGCTGGGTGTCCTGTGCATGTCGACAAACCGATTCTAGAGTGTACACGGGGAGGCAGGAGACCCCGGACAGCAAACACGATGTCGACGGAGAGGAGCAAAGCCGGAGGGCTACGCTGAGGACCTCAAGACTGAGGGTAAACCTACCGTCCTCGAGACAGCGTGACGGCAGAGAAATAGCTAATACACGCATGGGACGGAAGAGAGAGCTCAGAGACACAGCCCGGTCAGCACGGTCCACTGATCCTGGACAAAGGGGCAGAGGCAGCCTCTTCCGCAGATGTCGCTAGAACAGCCAGACACGCACACGCCACGTCGGAGTCGAGACCCAGGCCTTCCACTCTTCACAACGACCCCCTCAAATGCGTCACAGACCGAAATGTAAAATGCGAAACTGTGAAACTCCAGAAGGTCACACAGGAGAAGACCTAGACGGTCTTGAGCGTCGTGATGCCTTTTTAGATCTGACACCGAAGACACAGTTAATGGAAGAAATAACGATCAACGGGACTTCACGGCAACTAAAACGTTCTGCTCTGGAAAGACAGTATCGAGAGAATTGGATGACAAGCCACAGACTGGGAGCAAATATTTGCAGAAGGCACACCTGACAAAGGACCATCATCCAAAATATACGAAGAGCTCTTACAACTCAGTGAGAACCCAACCCAGTCACCACGCAGGCCGCAGACTGGTGTTCCACCGGACGGAGGAGTCACGGACCTCCCCCTCTGAAACTCTAACTGTAAATTATTTGAATATATAGGCAAATTAACTTAATTTATAAGTAAATTCATTGAATTTAAAGAAAGAAATTAGAAAGAAAAAAAAAAGGTGGTCCAAAGACCTTAACAGGCACCCCCAGAGAAGACACAGGATGTCAGGAAGAGAAAGATGCTCGTGTCACAGGCCCTCGGGGAAACGCGGATGAAGACATCAGTGACCCCCACCACACGCCTTGCAGAACAGCCAGACCTGGAACGCCAGGAACCACGTGCGGGCAAGGAAACAGGGCACCGAGACCCTCCCCCAAGGACAGTGGGAATGCAACCCTGCTGGGCACTTTGCCAGACAGCTGGGCGGTTTCTGACAGCAGCTCACACGCTCTCACGTGCCACCCAGCAGCCACGCTCCTTGGCATCTACCCGAGGAGCCAAGGACTTCGGCCACACAAAAACCCGCACGTGGACGTCCCCGGTGGCCCTGTAACTGCCAAACTTGGGAGCACCAAGGACGCCCTTCGGAGGGTGACCGGACTAAAGGGCCCCCACATCTCGACGATGGACCATTCAGCACGAAAGACAGATGAGCTCTCACGCTGGAAAGACAGGGAGGAACCTCGAGTGCATATCACCAAGTGGAAGAAACGGATGCGAGAAGGCCAGTGTTCTAGCATTCCAACAAAACGGACCTTCTGGAAAAAGCAAACCTATGGAGACAACGAACCGATGAGCAATGGGCCGCGGTGGGGCCGGGGCGGGAGACGAGCGAGCAGAGCGTGGAGGGTTCTGGGGCCGAGAAAAGCCTCCGCATGATGCTGTAGACAGACACACGCCGGCACACCCGTGCCCGGATCCACGGGGCGCAGGACGGCAAGCGTGACCCTGACGTGCGCGACGGACGCTGGGTCAGTACGATGCGTCAGCGCAGGCTCGTCCTCGGTAAAACATACGCACTCTGGTAACCACGGGCATGAGGACACACGTGTGGGGACAGGGATGTGTGAAAACTCTCTATCACCCCCTCAACTCAGCGTAACCCTGAAACTGCTCTAAAAAAGGGAGTATTAGGAAAAAAAAATTGGGGGGCGCCTGGGTGGCTTGGCCAGTTAAGCATCCAACTCGACTTTGGCTCAAGTCGTGATCTCAGGGTCGTGGGATCAAGCCCCGTGTGAGACTCTGCACTGGGCATGGAGTCTGCTTGACAGTCTCTCCCCCTCTGCCGCTCCCTGCCGGCGCCCCTCTCTCCCCCACAAAGAATAAAAATAAAAAATTAAAGAACAAGGTAGTTCCACGCATGTCAGCATGTGAATACCTTCAAGATATTAAGAAGCAGACAAAGGATCTAAGGGAGGGTCTCCCCAAGGATCTACAAACGGCCGTCCACACACGAGAAGTCGCTCAGGATTGTGAGTCACTGGGGAACGCAAATCCCGACCGCAAGAGTCCTGTTCCCCAGTGCGGATGGCGAAGGCCAGGAAGACGGGGGACTGCCAGCCCCAGGGAGGGAGTGGGGGGCCCCTTAACCTCCAGCCACGCTGGTGGGGACGCCTCATGCGCTGCCTCCAGAATGGCAGGCAGGTCCCCAAACATCACGCAGACTCACTGCCCAGCTCGGTAGGGCCACCCCGAGCACAGACCCAGGAGAAACAGAAACACGTCCCCACAGACCCCGTCCCAGCGTTGGCAGCTGCGCCATTCCCGACAGCCACGACGTGGAAGCCACAGTACGCCCATCCACGGCAGGACACACACACACAGTGTGCTCTGCGCACAGAACGGAGTCTCACTCCGCCGTACTGGCCCCAGGGCGCATGCAGCCGCCGGCGCAGGGTCAGGCCCACGAGCACAGGGTTGGGGGACGGAGCCGGGCACCTGTCCGCGAGGGGATGCACAGGACGGGCAGACCCGCGGAGACAGAGGCCATCGAGGTGGTCACCGAGGGCGGCTGGGAAGTGGAAAGAGGTTGCTAGCGGGTACGAGGATTTCTGTTGGGGTCAGGTCGGGATGAAAGTGTCCTAAAATTGGTGGCAGTGATGGCCATTCTGCCACGAGTACTAAAAAGCACCGAACCGCACATTTTAAATGGGCGAACGGCATGTACGTGAATTTTATCTCAACAAAGTCTTACACACTCACACTCACACACACACCAGCCCTTGCCCCACCTCCCCAACCCCCCCCACCCGGCTCGCACCCCCCTCTCCCCACCCCCCCAGGGCGGATGTCTGCAGCGCCAGCCGGAGCAGCCCCGGGGCCGGGGAAGGGGGCTGGCCCCCGGGGAAGACGCGCCGACTCAGTGGCCTGGGGGCCTCGTCACCTCTGACAAGCTCTTCCCAGCCGGTTTCTGTTTCTGCAGCCTGTGAACCGCGCGACCCGGCTCACAGAGCCGAGCGAGCGAAAACCAACCCCGCGTGAGCTCGTCTGGCACAGGGCGAGCCGGGCAGCACACCCTCTGCACACGCTGAGGAAATGCCCCTGTGCCCGAGGGGACCAGGCCGGCGGAAGGTGCACGGCGCTTTCACAATCTACGTGCAGGATCATGACATGTTATCAGACACAACCCACGTTCAGTTTCAGACGCCGCTTTCCAAAGACTCACTTGAGCTCAGTGCCCCACTGTTTGAAAGAGAAATTAATGGAATTTGGGTGCCCGGGGGCCGGCTGGTGAGCTGCTGCTTCTCCTACCAGCTCTCCAGGGGTGGCTTCCACAGCGAGGACGTTTCTGGCTTTCTCTGCAGAAGCATCCGGATGTGTGCAAATGACATCTGAAAGACAGGCAAACAGAGGTCAGTCCTCCACCCTTCCACGTGGAACTCCACGTCCCTCATGAGACACGGACCCATGCGCCATCGGCCACAGGACAGAAACTGTGGTGGCTTCAGTCACCTAAGGCCCTTCCATGTCTGTGACGGGGCTGGGAGGGACCAGGTCCCCTGTGTGGTCTCACAGATAAGCACAGCGGCAGGAAACTGTGACCAAGGTCCACTCGCCTGAGCCGATGAGGGCCAAGTCCGGGATCCGCCGTTAGGCAGAAACGCAAAGTGCCTCTAAGGAAACAGGCGGAGGGAAGTGTCCTGCACACACTTGCTAATACTGGCGGTGGCGACCCCAGGAAGCATGCTGGCACGTCCCAGAGCAGTGGCTCAGAAAGGTCACAGGAACACGGGCTCTAAGGGGCGATCGAATCTCAGAAGAGCTTTAAACGTAAACTTCTGAAATACCGAAGATTGAAACGGCTGGTGTATAGGATTTGCTTCAAAATACCAGAAAGTGGGTCGGGGTGTCCAGGGAAACCAGAAGGGCCCATGAAGCAGGAATTCTGGGAGTCACCCAGGAAATGTGGGGCAATGTTACAGGTTCTCTTTGCATAAAACTCCCCATAGTAGAACTTCTTTTAATGTTTTGAAAAACGTCCCCAACTGCAAATACTCTGCGTTCTCCTCGGTGGTGTCCTCCTCTCCCCGAGGGCACGGATGTTTGTAGAAAGAGGACAGCCTGCGCTCCCTGTCCCCGACCCATCCCCCTCCCCGTCACAAAGAGCCTCTACTCCAGCAGCAGCGACCCTCACTCGCTCGGAGGCAAAACCAGGGGCGGCCTGAGCACAGACACCGAGTTAGACGCCGCTTCTCGCGGGAGGAGCCGGATCTGAGCGGCTCAGGAGGGCGTCCACGGAGGGCCCTGGGCGCTGGCAGGGAGACCGACCCCAACCATGGGCGCCCGCCGCACAAGTATGACACTAAGCAACCGGGTAGTGTGGGAAGGGCTCAGAGAACCCGCGGGAAAGCACCGGGCGGAGGATGTGGGGGCTGTGTTTCCGTCAGGAGGACTCAGCTGCAGCCCCAGAGCAGGCTCCTGAGGGGGACAAGCAGGAGGGGCGCTGGGGACAGAAGAACGGGGGATGGGCAGCGGGTTGTAAGACTCAGTGACAGAGGCCTGAATCACGCCTCAGCACGGTTTCCCGATTCTCGGTTCGAGTCACCACCGCCGGTGAGCATGACGTGCTCGGTGCACGGCCAACAAGAACACGTCTGGGAAGGACACACGAGAGAACAGAAGATCACGCAGGAGCAGGGATCCCCTGGCACCTGGAGCTGCAGGGCGCTGCAGGGACCTCGAGGGAGCGGAGGGGGGACCCTGCCCGCGCCTCCAACCACAGCAGCTTCTCTTCCCTCCTTTAGGCGGGAGCCGCCAAGGTCTCACCTGCGAAGAGTTACAGTACACACAAAACGATGAAGTCAAACACTGTGAACCAGGTCCAGCCCCCTGGCCCTCAGGAGACAAACCCTGCACGGCAGGTGCCATGACCGTACCGCCCAGGGTAGGGGACTGCACCAGGTGGTGGCCCACAAGGGGCACCCCCGTTCAGCCGAGCTCAGGAGGCCGAGGGCTGGTCTTCGCAGAGCTCGCGGTGAAGACCCACAGGCCGGGCCGGGACGTGGATGCGGCGCCCGGGCTCCCATCTGCAGCCGGGCCAGCCTCTCCTTCTGCGTGGCCGGGGGTGCGGTGAGCAGCGCCCTGCTGTGGGCGCAGGCTCCCGACCTTCCTGGAAAGCACCTCCTGCCCAGAGAACCCCAGGCCCTGGGACCCTCTCCCCCCCACACACACCGGAAACGCTTCCGAAGGAGCACGAGCCACAGGGGCCAGCTCAGACAAGGGCCGGGAGGCCCGGGACGATGCCGGCGGAACACACCGTCTCTGAGAGTAATTATTCCACGTGAAAAAGAAGCAATTTTCCAGTTTTGGTACGACTGTCATTTGCCTCATCTTCGGTTTTTGCATGAGTGTGTGAGATTTCCTTAATTAAGGACAGCGGCGGGCTTGCCCTCCACCCGCAGCGTCCGCGCACCAGCATTCAGGAGCTGCCAGGAGGGGACGTAAACTAGGTCACGGCAGGGTTTCCCCGGAGTCTGGCTGGCAGCCACCGGATCCCCCAGCTCTGGTCGCGGGAGCCGCGCTGAAGGCTTCCGGCCTCTGTTCTCTGCTCTTTTCCAACATCTGCAAACCTGGCAACTCGGACGCGTCCTGACCGCAGGGCTCCCCCTCCTCACCACTGCTTTGACGCAGTCCCGACGACGCCGGGTCGTCCACACAAGGGGAAGGCCACGGGAGAAGGCCACTCCCACAGGTGGCACAGAACACGGCAGAAGAGGGGTCTCTCTGGGAGCTGGAGGACAGCGCGGGCTGGACAGGAAAATGCTTCTTTCCCCTTTATCAGAGAGAATTTTAACCCGGATCGCGAAGCAGTAATCAGAGCTGTGATCAGAGGCAGAACAAATATCTAAGTGAGGGCAGTGTGCGTCCTCAAGCACCAAAAAGGAGGGGCTCCCTGGGCCCCCAGAGGGCTAGTCCATGCATCCGACCTGGCTGGTTCCACCCTGGGCATAAGCCTTGTGACCAGCAGAAAACAGGGGCTCCCACACGCTGGGGACCTGGACCACAGACGAATATAAGACGGAGTGACGAGGGACCAGGGTGGGAGGCCCTGTACCTCCCCAGAAAGCCCACGTGTCTCCCTTCTGACCTGCCTCTCCCGTCACCTCCCTTTGAGAGACCCCAGAATCGAGGTGGGGACCACATCTGGCAGACAACTTCCCTCTCCTGCCTGTGCCACTCCCCACCTTGTGCTCAGACCCCAGCCTTGGCACCAGACCAACCCAGCTGGTCCGCACCCCTCTGCCCACGGCACCCCCGCCCCAGCTCGCTCGCACCCCCGCCCCCTCTGTCCATCACCAGGCTCCAAGGAGGCCCCTTCCAGGTACAACTGGAAGCCATTCCCCTACACATGCACTCCCTTTCCCGGCCTGATGTGAGGCCAGACGACATCTGTCCACAGATGGGCTACGTGCCCACATCCTGTGAGCCCTCCCCACTGGGATCAGCTGCCTCTCGGGTACCACACAAGAGTCACCGCGACTTACACTTCCAAGCAGGTCACAGAGAGGACAGCCTCTCTGATCAGCTCACGGGGTGACAGGTCTGCATCCCGCCCCACGTGGGCCTTCCCTCTGTCCCCGCAGTCCCTGCACAGACTGCCCCTGGCCCCACCGGCCCCGAGAAGGAAGTGTGTGGCCTCCCCTCAAACCGTCCGTGCTGTCGTTTTCTTCAGGAAGCACGCCGCGCTCAGCCAGGTGTCTGGGTGCTGGTGTGCCCCCGTGGGCCCGGACTTGCCGGAGCCTCAAGTGACAAGGTGTTGTCACCCCTACAGTTCGCCATCAGTCTACGGGGGAAGTGAGCGCGACAGAAGGAGCTCTGTGCGGCTCCTGGAACCAGGCCCTTGGCCTCCTGCGCTGGCTTCCACGGGTCTGGCCACCTCGTGCCCAGCAGCTGGGAAGGGCTTTGAACGCTGCCTTTCGTCCTTGCCAAGCACTCCTTTGTGTGGAAACTAGGTCTTCACCACCCCAGTGCCCAGACGCGCGGAGTCCGTGTGTGCAGCGTGGCGATCCCGCGGGGGCCGGGCTGCGGGCAGGTGGAGGAGACGGACACAGCCCAGCCACCCCTCCTGTGCAGCCTTGCGAACGTCAGCTGCAGGCACAAGACACAGAACACTGAACTCTGGAGAAGGAATGTTCTGGAGGCCAGTGGGTGACGTGCTGCTCAGGGCTCCCCACAGCCCTTCCTTCCTCACAGACGCTGATGGGGATGTGGCCATGGGCTCAGCTCAGAGCCCGGCTCTCCCGCTCCCTCCAGGCTGGGGACAGCCACGCCGCACTGGCCAGTGAGGAGGAGGAGGCCAGGGACCCCGGCAGAGCCGCCTCCTGTCCACCCCCTGCAGCACTGCAGCAGGCACAGAGAGCTGCCCCATGAGGCCCGCAAACAGAAACAGCTCGGCCAGCCACGGACAGCGCTTCCCGAGACAGACACAGCCCTGTGAGTGAGGCTCCCCACAGACGACCCCAAGATAACCCTCGCCGACTCAGAATGACACTTCCACAGGTAACGGGTCTGCCCTCTGCCCATCACGGCACCAGCGTGAGGGGTGGACAGCTCGTTCCCATTCCAGCCCCTGCCCTGGGCCTCCTCCCTCCCTTTTGACCCACCTCCAAACCCTCCAACCCTTCCAGCACCCCCGGCCCCGCCCCCTGCCAGGGCTGCAGCCACCATGGCTTCGAGCTGGACCCCAGCCCCGTTCTGCCCACCGGTCCCATCCCCCGCACTCGGCACATCCGACCCGTCGCTCACCCTGCTCTCGTTCATCTGTGATGCCCCTCCGGGTCTGGGCCCTGACCACCTACCCAGCTTCGCTGGCCTCTCACGGAGCCAGACACCCGAATCGGCTGCTCCTTCTGCATCCCGAGGCCGCCCCGGGCTCACCGCCTCTCACGGCGGTCCGACCGGCCCAGGCCCCTCACCCGGCCACACAGTCCTCAAGGACACGGACTGTGACTTCTCGGTCCTTAGAGCCCAGACGCGCAGCACACTGGCCAGACCGTCCCCACCGATGAGCAAACAGGCTCAGACAGAAACGCTGGGTGCGGTGCGGTGGGGCTCAGCACCGCTCCCGACGGCCTGGTGGTGTGAAGCACCTTCAGCTCGTGGGCCCCGGCCTCCAGAGATGCACAGCCGCCTGCCCCCGGAGCTGTCATTCCCGCGAGCCTCCCCCACAGCGACGTCAGGTGCCACGGGCACTGGTGGGACCACATGGGGTGAAAATGAGAATGTCCCAAACCAGGGGGCGGTGAGGACAGAGGGCGGGAAGATTATTTTTAATGCAAATCAGAGTTCTAAACACATTTGGTCTAGCGCCCTGGGTCTGCCAGACGCACCGTGTCCTCCGAGTAAAGGAGCCAGGGCGGCGCGCTGGCTCGGTCGCTACAGGACCTCTGGCCCTCGAGGTCGTGAGTCCAGGCCCCACGCTGGGCGTGGAGATTATAAATACCTACAACTGAAGAACAAAGGAAGGGGACCGACGGGTGCCCCCAACCCCAAGGGACCAGGGGCGTCACGAATGTGCTCGGTCAGTCTCAAGGTCGAGACCGAGTCACAGGCTGCTTCTGGTCCGAACCCCTAGGACAGTGGCTTTCAAACCCGCAGTGGAACCGTGATGGAGCACTGAGGGCCCCTCGGCTCCGTGTCGTCAGCGTGGACGCCCCCAAGAATGAGCTAAAGGCCTCACGGGACCACGTAGGGACAGGCGTGATGCACGTTCAGTACCATGTCACTGACCACAGCGTTAGGCCACAGGACCTGGCAAGCACTTGGGGGGGGCAGGGCAGCAGGGGCCCGTGGGCAAGAGGGCCTGCAGGGGAGGGGCTCTGCAGGCAGCTGTCCCCAGGCTTGCGGGGAACTCGATGGAGACCGTGCTCCGTGGAGCAGAGGGCCGCGCGGGCGTCAGGAAGGGCAGACCTCAGCCCTCCCTCGGACTCTGGCTTGTGTGTCCCCCACGCCTGGCTTCAGGCCTCCGCGGCCTGCCCTCTCCCTGAGGAAGCCAGGAGCCCCGCGCCCGGCCCGCCCCGGCCCCCGCCCGACGGTCAGCAGGCACGTGCTGCTCCACAGTCACGAGGACGTCAGGGCGTGTCACTGTCGACCCTGGAGTAAGAAGCCCCTCATCTCCACACTGAGACCGTCTGCGAGTTACCAAGAGTCGTGCACAAGCCACAAATCTAGACTGAAATGGAATCGATTAAAATCTCCCTCGGGCGGACGACGGGAGCACAGGCTTGGAGGACGAAGCGCGTACAAGTGACTGTGAACACATGAGGGGGGCGCCTCACCTCAGTGGGCACACGCAGGCAGGACCGCGGTCACCCTCACCTCTCGACTGCATGGGGAGTCAGGCATGGCCTCGGCCGACCCCCAAGGCCGTCCTCAGGCTGGCGTAGGACTCCATCCGGGGAAGCACCCAGAAGCTACGGAACGCCGCCGTGGGAAAGGGACAGTCGCTACTCTGGGTGGGAACTTGCATCAGGCTGTCCCGCCACGGCCAACGGCTGGACGCAGGGGACAGACGCGGATCCCCCTCCCGTGACTTACCTGGGTTATCTCTGGCTACGAGACCCTTAGAGAAATCCCCGGGGGTCGGGGAGGCCCTGCTGTCCCCCTTCACCATGTCCAGGCCGCTGCAGTACTCCCACCGCTTCTGCTGGAGCTCCTGCAGCCAGTAGGTCATGAGCTGACGGTTAGGAGCCTGCAAAGACGGAAGCGGAGAGCGTTACGGCGGGACGGGCGGACGCGCTCTGCCCGCGGACTGCGGTGGGGGGAAGCACAGGTCAGAGAATCCGCGGTCGGGAGGAGCCGGCGGAGCACCCAGTATGGACAGTGGGAGCTCAGTGCCGGGGAGAGATCCTCCTGTGTGCGGGACCTAGAAGTCTAGGACCATGAAACACCGTCCACAGGCGGTTTCAGGACGGCTGGCCAGCCTCGCGGCCCTTGCACGTGACACAGGCATAAAGCCCGTCAAGAGCTCACACCTCGTGTAGTCTGGGGAGCCGTCCTGGGCGCACCACGTCGAATAACCCTATTTCCACCCATGAGCCTCTGGGAGGGTGTCCACGGGCACTGCAGGCTGGACTCGGGCGAGTCCAATGGCCACGACTTTTCCCATTGATGAGATCAAGTGGCGGGAGGGGTGCCGGGCCACGGGCCCGTTCACGACCGCCCCCACGGGCCCTGCACAGCGGGCACCAGGGCAGATGTGCTTGTAGGAGAATCCTTGGTTGAAAGGGGAAAACCAGGCTGGGGAACAGTTAGAGACCTCGTGATGCTCTCTCACCAAATTCCCCAGGGCAGAAACAAACATGAATGTCATATGCTTTCAAGGTCTGGCCCATTGTTCGTGTTACAGAAGTCTGGTCAGTACGGCAGGGAAAACCGCCTCGAGGCGATGATTAACTGGGGTTCCTTCCCTTTTTAAAATCTGGAAAGCTCTGAGGGCGTCTCGACCTCGATCCCGAGCAGGGGGCAGAAGGCTCCGGGGCTGGCATGGTCTGTGGGGAGGTGGGAGGGCCAGGGAGACCCTGCCAGCAGGTGTCCAGAGCCCTGGACAGACCGGCAGAGGCTGCAAGGCTGGGCGGCACCCACCGCACCAGGCGGCCTGTCCGGCCACCGGCACCGTGTGTCCACTCGGCGTCTCTGCACGGAGGGAGGGCGGAGTGGAGGGCCGACCTTGCCCCGACCTGATTAGATCACGATCACTAACAAGCTCTCGGTCACCCTGGGTTCAGTCTGGGTTCACCACGGAAAGTTCATCTCCAGACCCGCCCAGCGCAGCGGCCCCCGGACACACGCGGCCACAGAGCACGGGAAATACGGCGGGTGCCACAGGACGGAACCCTCTGGAGGCCTCGGACTGTGTCACCCGTACTTGAAAACCGAAAGCCTGCCTGTCACGCTCCCACCGTGTGCTGCTCACTCCAGCTGCGCGGGACCGTGATGGGAAACGCGGTCCACTCTGGGAGCGAGGCTGGTGGGAAGGCCAGGGAGCGGGACGCAGCCTTGGGGACTGAAATGAAGGCCAAGGGCATCAGTTTCCTGGAGCGACCCCACTGCGCCCCTGCACAGGGCTGTGAATTCCAGATGTCTCCGATCTTTAACCACGGAGATGCCCACACTGTTTAGGGACCAACAATGGGTCTGGCTCGTCCGGCTGACGGCTCATGTTTCTGTGCCTCCTCTGCCCTTCTCCAGTGGGGTAAGTAGGACCCTCAACGATCTGACGTCACAAACACCTCCACGAGCCCATCACCAGGAGTGCCCCCCAGTGAGGCCCAGCTCAGCTGGGGACACAAGCCAGTCCGTGCTAAAGCCTATCACCACCACACTGTATCTGCCCAGCACCCACCTGCCACAGGGATGGGGAGCAGGACTGGGAGAGGGGATCTGCCCCTGGCCCCCCATTTACAGGGCTCCAATCCCAAATTCTGGACAGCCAGATGGGCCTCCTAGTCATGCTGGAAGGGGCAGAGCCAAAGCTCAGCTGAGACACAATAGGTGCCCGTGGGACACAAGCGTCCAGCAGGAGGCCAGGTGCCAGCGTCTGCCATCTGAAGACTCACCAGGGCCGTATCCTAAGTCTCTCAGAATACCAGTCTGCCCAACTCCTATACATCCCGCAAAGCCCAATGCAAATGTTACCTCCAGAGGACGTTTTCCTCAGCTGAGCCTGCATGTTCTCTCCATCCTCTCAATAGAATCCCACCACACCACGTAACCCAGGTAAGCTTCCCACAGACACAGGCGCACTCCTCGTGTGTCCCTCATCGGCCTGAGTTCCCTGAAGCTGGAGGTCAGACCTGCTGCTCTCAACATGGTCCACGATGCCTGACGCACTCGGACATCCGACTTTCTCATGTCCAGCTGCTCCTAACGTGCCAAGGCTGCTAATCCCAGCCAGACAGGGCACCAGTCCCGGCACGAACCACATAGGACACCTTGGACAGCTGTATGTGTGAGCGTCTCAGGGGCCAGGGGCCAGACTTGGACTGGGCAGGCGCAGCCCTGATCTGAGGCACCTGCGGCATGGAGGGGCCGCGTCACATCAGGTCAGAGGATGAAAACCAGGCCACCCACATCCAGCCTGACGTGGCCGAGAACCACACAGTGCTCCAGCTGCTCCCACAGACTCCATCCCCAGGCCTCCAAACCCAGAAGCCCACATGTGGGGAGCGGGCCCCAGCCCCCTGTCCCTTCCCCTGGACACTCCCCCCAAGCCTGGCTCTCTCCCCAGGGCGCAGAGAAGTCCTATCATAAGGTCATCTGGTCACCACTCCCGGCAGGCGTGTCCCCACAGGAGGGGCTGGTGCAGCGACCCGGCAGTCACGGGAGCAGGGTGCCCTGCACCCACACCGTCAGCGCACAACCCCTGGGCTGAGCTCTGCACCCGGGGTCTCCAGCACTGTGGGAAAGAACTCAGCCACACAAAGCTCGTCCCCTTTGACCCGCATCACTCCTGGGCCTCTGTCGAAAGGAATCCAAAAGAGGGAAAAGGGAAAGATGCCGTGTACACAAAAACGCCGGTTCACCTGCTCAGCAAATATGGACCGAGTGCCTGACTTGGACCGAGTGCCGTCCCGGCGGGGATGCAGAACCGGGTGGGACTGGCGGATTCCTGCCTCGGCCGCACCCAGGGAGCCACGGCTTCCTTCACAACAGCGATCAACAGCTAGAAGCGCACTCCCCATCACAGCTGGAACACGAAAGGCCTGGCCTCGGAGACAGAAACCCTCATATGGGACAGAAACTTCCCCAGATCCCGGTCCGCGTTCTAGAGGAGCTCATCAAGACGCAGCAAGGAGACCACAAACTCATCTGAAGTTCACCCCTAAGTGATCCTGGACAAAACCAGAGGGGCGTGGGGCTCTGCCCTTCCTGGCACGGAAGCCTGTGACGAATGCGCCGCAGGGCCCAGCGGGCGAGCCCTGAGTCCGACGCAGAGCTGAGCTGGTACGGAACGCAGGGTTCCAAACAAAATCAGGAGAAAGACTCATGATTCGACGATGGCACTCAGGACAGCTGGTTAGAAATTTGCAAAGAAAGAAAACGAAGTCAAATTTGGTTCCAGGTTTGAATGTACAGTAAAAGTCATTAAATCACGCAAAGAAAATGCCTACGTGATCAGTTTCTGTCTCTTTGGCATCCCGCGACAGTAGCCAAGCAGATTTCCGCAGAATCTCGAAGGTGGCCTGGGGGTCTGACTCTGGCCCACCGTAATCCACGCGAAAGCTCCCAGCAGAGCGGAGGGCGGCTTCAGTCAAGCACCGTGGGCGGCCACCACAGGGACCGCATGCACCTGGGAGGGACCACCGCTCCCCGCGGCTGAGCCCCAGACAGAAGGCCCAGGGACAGGCCTTTGAGGGCTGCTTCCTGCACGCGGCCCAGCCCAGGGGTCGGCTCCAGGCAGGAGGCGCGGGTCCCACCGGCCTGATTATTTTCCCCAGAAACAAAGGGGAGTTACTACTGCAACAGTCTTAGTCTCTTGGAATGTAAAGACCTTTCTACTCCCAGAAAGGAAGGCACAGAGAAAACTGTCTGTCCCAAACAACACATCCAGAAGTAGAAGAGAAACGACAAATGGAGACAGAGAGCTAACAGCCTGCAGGAGCCGGAGGTGGGCGCGGCCGCCCTTGAGGGAGCCCACCTCCAGGATTCCTGTCTGCCTGGGAGCTCCCGCTCGCTCTCCTTAACAAACACAACAGAGGGCCGGGGGGCTCCGTTGGTTGGGCGTCTGCCTTCCGCTCAGGTCATCATCCTGGAGTCCTGGGATCGAATCCCGCATCGGCTCCCTGCTCAGCGGGGAGTCTGCCTCTCCCTATGCCACTCCCCCTGCTTGTGCTCTCTCTGTGTCTCTCAAATAAATAAATAAAAACCTTAAAAAAAAAAAAAAACCTACAGCACATCGTAGACTTTTATTTCAAACAGCAGTAACAACCCAGGTTTGCTGTGCAACTCTGGGGACGCAGGAGAAAGAGCACCGGACGCCAGCCCTTCACCAGACGGGATGGCATCCGCCCTTTGCCCTGACTCCTTCCCGATGCCCTCCTGTCCCCCAGCCCGGTTTCCTTCACACAACCGAGCACGACAGACTGTGATGTGCGTCCCACACTGGCGACAGCATCAGACACCATCAAGGACGCCATCGCCACGGGCTGGACGTCGGACTGAACGCGGCACACGCGGTCCTGCGATGCGCACAGCCATCAGGCAGCACTGTCCACGAACCCCAGTGTCAGTACCAGGGCCGGGCACCTGACGTCTGGGCTCACAGCCCGCGTGCCGAGAGCGGGGGGGCCCAGATGCCCCCTGGAGCAGACGCGAGTGACGGCAGGAACGTACTCGCCCCCCGGCGGCTCCGAGGACCACGCAGCCCACGTGCGGCCAGCTGGGACTGGCGACAGCACGCCAGCCGCACCTGCTCTCCCATCTCCACCGTCCCCTACAACCTCCCGGTGGGTGGGTGGCTCCGTGAACATCCAGCCGGGGTCTGGGGTCCTTGCGGTCTCATGAGGAAGAAGACGGAGCACACGCCCAAGACTGCACCCATCTTCCCGGCACCCCAGCAGGACCCACAGCTGCACAGCTGTCCTCGAGGGCCGAGCATGCTGGGCTCTGGGCAAGGACACTGGCTCTGCCCGGACACGGACCGGGGTCGGCACGGCTGCACAGGGTCAAAGCAAACGCGGCCATGGGTCC